ATAAATCTTTCTACTTGTTGGGTTTTAATGTGTGTTTTTGTTTCATCATAACTTTAGTCCTTAATTAGTCTGATTCATCTACATAATTAAAAACACTTCAGGCTCTATGCTTCATTTTATAAAAACAAACAAGTTTTACAAAGTTTTTTTTAAATATTTGTCCTGTTTTGGAAAAATAAATACATTTTAAAAAAAATATTTAGGTTTGACCCTTTGAAATAAAACTAAACAAAAAAACCAACAAACACGAAAATTAACATTAAAATATATTTTTAACAAAACAGGAAGAATCAGTGAAATAACTGCAGTTTTATTTTATTTTATTTTATTTAATTTTATTATAGTTTAAAAAGTTTTTTTTTTTCCAGGTCGGACCAACAGAAGTTTTACAGTCTGTTCATAAAGATCCATGTTTGTGTTTTAATGTGAAAACTGCAAAACAAACAAACAAACAAACAAACAAACAAACAAACAAACAAACAAACAAACGCTGGAAACACGTGAGACTTTAGTGGAGCTCCGGTAAACATCTGTAAACATCTGTAACATCTGCACCACGTGACCAGCTGTCGCTTCTTCCTGGTTTCTTCTCGTCGCTGTTTGTTGGGAAACATCTGATGTCGCAACTCGGACGAACCGAGCAGGAAGAACCGGAGGAGGAGCGTCGACCGGAATCCGCTCAACTTCCTCCAACAGCCGCCGCTGCTCTCTGCGCCTCTTTCTGCGCCTCGTTCACGCGTAAAGAGCCGCTGCGGCCGCAAAACTTGATCCAGCTGCCAACATCTGCCGGCGGTCGGTCCGTCATGTCGGACCGGAACCGCTAATTGGCTCCACGCGCTCCGCCAGCAGGAGTCCCCGGAGCACCGGAGCGCCGGAGGCTTCCAGCCGTCAGTCTCCGTTACCGGACGGTGTGAGTCAGCAGCCGAGACCCGGGGTACCCCCGCTGTCCCGGACCTGCCCCGCCCCCGCCCCTCTGCACCTCCAGCCGAACAGCCCCGAGTGGATCATCCGGACCGGACGGACACCGAGCACAGCTGCTGTCAATGTAAGTCACCGCCTGCTGGCCGGTTTTCCTAAATGTACCGATTTCCTAACGAACCCTGGTGCCTCCGTTCTGTCACTGTTGGTTTCATGGGTATGAAACGAGGTTCTGCTGCTTTATTCACTGAAAGTCGGTTTGGTTTTGAGAATCAGCCCGATGCCTGAAGCGTGCTGTCCTGGGACGGACCGGGACAGACCCGGTTCTGCTGCTAGCTCCCATTCTCAGCCCTGCGTGCAGATTGTCGTTTAAAAATCCGTCAATTTACGGTTTCAGCGGTTTCCTTTACAAGCTCGCAGAACCTGAGCGCACAGCTACACATGAAACCCAACGAGCCTGATGTTTTCTACGGTTCGGCTCAGAAACGGTCCACCAGCCTGGACTCACTGGACACCAGCTCCAACTTTACTCCATCACCTGCCTGGTTGTGCAGCGAGGCTCGATGGAAGATAGTCACAGAAGTCTGGGACTGACTCGAAAATAGAATTTATTTAAGCGCCGAATTCATCATGATTATCTACTGATGTGTGAAATGGGCTGAAAAATGTGAAAAGTTCAGCTGAAATCTAGCAAAACGTGAAGGCAGATAAAAAATGACGCTTTTTTGATTAGAGTCTGGGGGAGATGTTGTGCATGAGAGCAGGACGGTGGGTCTCCATCGATCAGCTCTCCATCGATCAGCTCCGATAATCAGATTAGAGTCAATCAGGTCGGTGTGGAGACTCAGCACAAACACAGCTGCATCTCCAGCTCCATCAGCAGAGGATTTATGAGTAATATGACAGAACAGCAGCTCTCAGATCAGGAACCATGTAGTGATGATAGAACTGGACCTTAACAGAACCTGACCCCCTCTCAGCTCATACTGTGACTAAAAGCTCAGAGGATCCGGTGTGGCTGAGCCGCCCGGCACCGACCATAAAGCAGTGATTTACATGAGCTGCTTTATTTGAACCAAACAACTCATCAACTACCCAGAATCCTCGGGGGCTGTTTATACCTGTGGCCAGGCGCATCACACGCTCATATAAACACACACACACACTCACACACACACACACACACACACACACACACACACACAGAGCTCTGCTTTATTGAGCGTGCTGATGGATGGCGGCGCTGAGCAGCTCGGTTCTGGATGTCCCTCCTGGGATCCACTAGCGCCGCCGGATCGTCCACCGTGACACATTATGCCCCCGTCTGTCTGCCCCGGCTTCTCATTTACCCCTCCACAGCCTCCGTCCTGCTGCTTCTGCCTCCTTCAGGTTCAGACGGGCTTCGTTCTGAGCCGCCTCTCCTCGTCCCGGTTCTGAGTTTTACTGTTTTAGTGTTGAATTGAACGTTTAAATCAAAGAAAAACAGCAAAGATCTGTTGGTTCTTCCTCCTAAAATGTGAACATTGGCAGTAAAGTGAAAATAAAACGTTTAAATCAAACTAAAAACAGCCAAATGTTGTGGAATATGAAAAAAACAACAAAAATATGTTGATTCTTGTTTTTTAAATGTGAGAATTTGCACTAAAGTGAATAAAACAACATTTAAATCAAACTAAAATCAGCCTAATTTTGTTGGTTTGTGCGTCTAAAATGTAAGAATTTGCAGTAAAGTGAATATAAACCATTTAAATCAAATTGATTTAATATGTTGACTCTTGCTTTTAAAATGTGAAAATTGGCAGTAAAGTGAACACTGGCCATTTAAATCAAACAAAAACCAGCAAAAATCAGTTGATTCTTGCTTCTAAAATATAACAATTTACAGTAAATCAAATGCAAACCATTCAAATCTAACAACAAAACTGCAGAAATCAGTCGATTCTTGCTTCTAAAATGTGAGAATTTGCAGTAAAGTGAATATAAACCATTGAAATCAAACAAAAACAGCCTAAATCTGTTGGTTTCTGTTTCCAAAATGTGAGAATTTGGTTCCTTTAAACCCCAAAAGTGACTATTTTTGGGTTTATTTGAGGTTTTCTGGCATCTAATCGACTGATTATCTGATCAGTGAGACAACAGCTGCTGATTTGAAGTTCTTTCCACTGATTCTGATCATTTCAATCAAAATAAATCTGCTGCTGTGGCTGAAGTTTCAGAAATGACAGTAAACAGAAGACGTTCTTCCAGCTGATAGAACCTCGACTCTTGTTTCTGTTTGGCACCAACATGAGACAGAACTTTATTTGTCTTGTATGAGCACCAGACGAATAAAGACCAGAACAGAAGCGTCAGAAGCAACGCTGCACACGGAAGCAAGACTGAGTCAGAACCTTCCCAGTTTCTGAGTCACTCGGTTTCCTGTGATCGTGGTTCTGAAGCTTCCAGTGAAATTATCCTGAAAGTTGCACAAGGAGCGCCTCATCAATCAGAGCAGCTGTGGATGTGCTGGATCCTCCATCAGCCAGATGTTGAATCAGCCTGAAGACGACGGCAGGAAACAAGTCAGAACACCTGAAACGGTGTCTTTAGAAAGTGTTCACGTCCTCAGAAGGTAAAGACAAGAAAGGTTCTTCAGCATTAGACCAGCATGACCTGGATCTGATGGAGAGAAGCTACCAAAGAAAAAGGTTCTTTAATGTCAAAGTGAAAACGGCTCAACTAGATTTAACCTTAACAAGCCTGAAAGGGTTCCTGAGAAACATCCTCACGTCATGATGCTGCCACCGCCGTGCTTCATCATGAAGACGGTGTGTTTGTGATGACGTTCAGTGTTTGGTGTCCATCAAACATAGCATCTAGTCTGTTGGACAAAAAGCTCCATTTTGGTCTCCTCAGACCAGAGAACCTTCTTCCAGGTGACTTCAGAGTCTCCACATGTCTTCTGATGAACTCTAGTCCAGATTCAATCTGAGCTTTTTCCATCAGAGTCTTTCTCTTTGTCTCCCATAAAGCTTTGATGGTGAAGATCAGACAACAGCTGTTCTATGAACAGTCTCTAACATCTCAGCTGCTGAAGCTGGAAACTCCTTCAGAGGAGTCATAGGAGTCTTGGTTTCCTCCCTCTCTAGTCTCCTTCTTGCTCGGTCACTCAGTCTCTGAGGACGTCCTGCTCTGGTCAGATCTACTCATGGTCCATGTTCCTTCCATGTCTTAATGATGGATTTAACTGGACTCCAGAGATGTTCAGTAACTTTATTAATTTCTTACTCAGGCTGATTAATCCATCATCAGAACAGTCGGTCATTCATGTAATACTTTCCAGCTTATCAGCTGATTAATTGTCCCTTTCAGAGGATGAATCCTGGACCCTGATGCGTCCAGCGGGACCGTCTCATTGGCTGCAGTCGTTTCTAATTTGTCTGTGATTTTATGTGATGAATGAGTTGTGCAGCGGGAACAGAGCGTCGCCGTCGGTTACTGAGCCACATACAACGATTCAGAGCGAACGTCTGTCGAAGCGCATCGGCGAGTGTTTGTTGAGCAGAGGCCCATCGGAGGCTATGTGGATTCACAGATACATGTGAGACAGAAACCACGTATTGATCTGTGAAGCCATCCCTGAAGAGCAAAGAGAGGTGGAGAGCAGAGCAGGAAGGAGAGGTGGAGGTCGCCATCATCCGTCCATCTGGCCTCCTGTAACCAGCAGATTAATATCAGCTCCACAGTGATGGAGGCCGAGACCCTGAAACACACAACGACAGCGAGGCCGAGTCCTTCACACGGATAAATCTAAATAATACAGGCAGACGGAAAGAGTTGTGACGCCAGGAACTGATCCAGAGGTTTGTTCAGAGGCTGCAGCTTGTGGAGAGGAGAGGAGGATCTGCAGCTTCATCAGGACAAGAAACAACAGATTAACTGTAGAAGAGACGCAAATACACAAAAAACAACCAAATAAAGACAAAAAACAACCACAAAATGCTGTAAAGACAGAAAACGACTGCAAGGAGACACAAAATGAGCAAAAAAACAACGACAAAGACACAAAATGAGCAAAAAAACACAAACATCAGTCTTTTTGTGCCCAGTTTGATGTTTTATTATAAAATGAACTGAAACACGTTGAAATTCAGATTTATCGCCGTGACTGTTACAGAAACGGATGAACTTTAAGTGAAACTAATGTCCTCTCCTCGTCTCCGCAGGGCGTCCTTCGTCTCCAGCCTCCTCTTCCTCTTCCTGGTGGGCGGGGCTTCGCCGGCCGTGGGCCAGTCCAGCGAGCAGACAGGTGGGTGACAGCCGAGACAGGTGAGCCGCTCGTTAGGCGACACGAGTCGGTGAGTCGAGTCCCAGCAGAGCGACGCCGAGGCTCTGAGCTCCTGGAGCTGGTCGGGTTAAAGCTAAGACAAAAAAAGACCAAATAAGGACGTAAAATGATCAGAAAGAAGCAAAAATCAACTCCAAAGACACAAAACACAACAAGAAGGGACATAAAATGATTAAAACAAGACACAAATCTACAACAAAACGACTACAGACGATCCCACAGAGACACCAGCAGTCTGACCAGCAGCTCTTATATTTATCTGAAGTCTTCCCTCCAGCTCCACTTCATCCTCGTCTAAAGCCTCTAAACCCACTCATACCTGGTTTATTTCCTTCCCGAGTTAATTAAATGTGATAAATACGAGCGAGCTGCTCCGGTTTTTACTCTGCGTGTTGTAAAAGAGATGATTTTAAAAAAAATAAAAACCCGGAGGTGCGACGCTGCAAAAGGTTAATTAAAAACCGAAGAGTCGAGTCTCCTGGGACGGCGTCTCCACGGCGATGAGGCTCATCTGTAAGGACAGAGGGAGGAGAGAAGATGGATGAAGGGAGGATGAAAGGGAGGGAGGGAGAGGGGAGGATGGAGGGAGGATGGATAGAGATGGAGGGAGGGAGAGGGGAGGATGGAGGGAGGATGGAGAAGGAAGCGAGATGAAACCTTGGGGGAACTGTTTCAGTACGTTGGAGGGAATCGATGGACGTTCTGGATTCAGAATCGATTCACAAACATCTTCTGTGATGATCTGATGTTGGAGAAAGAAAACGTCTGAAGACCGTCTGACTGATCTGAGCTCTGCAACAGGAAGGGAGAAAAAAAAATCAATGTTTGTAGCTGAAATCATCATAATATCTACTGAAGTCAGTGACAGTAATAATAAATATAATAAATCACACTTTAAATGTGAAAAACAACAAACAAGCCAAATCTGTAAACAACATGTTTTTACAATAACTACAATAAAAATTATTATTTTGCAAAATTAACAATAATATCAAGTCAAATCCCTGAAAAAAGTATTAATTTACACTTTAATTGTAAAAAATATAAACAAGCCAAAAATGTAAATAAATAAAAATCAATATTTAAACATTTTTTTATAAATTTTTTAAACACGTGTTTTTAAAATTACCGTTTGTACATCAGCTAAAATGTTGTTTACTGTTAATATAACAAAGAAAAACACAAATAATCACATTTAAAAAGCTGTAAGCTGCTAAATGAGGCTCAGACGTGTTTCTCTGATAAATAAAATCGGTTGCTGTTGTTTGGTTTCCTGTTCGTTGCCGACGATCCAACGTCTGATCCGTTCATTAATAATCAGCCGTTAGTCCTGCGTCGCCTTCGTTCTGCTGAGCTAAAGCCTGCAGACGTACAGCAGCGTGTTAGCGATGGATGGATGATGCAGGAGGAGGAGGAGGAGGAGGAGGAGGAGGTACCGATGGATGGATGGATGGAGGAGGACGAGGAGGTTTTAATAGAAAGACTAATACTGCAGCCGGGGAAACCTGACAGGTCAATTACCAGCTCACCGTCTGTGCAGGAGGTGTGCAGAGCCGCCATTAATCCAGAGCTCCAGAAACCAGCGGGGCTGAAAGCGTCCCGCGCCGGGGGGTTCTCAACACGAGGCCCCGGACCTGAAACGGGACGCCGGTCCTCTGCTGAGTCAGTTCTGCTTCAGCTGCTGGAAATGAGCCTCGTTGCTTTCTGTAGGAAACTCAGCACATTCCTCCAGTTAGACTCATCTATAAATACATTTAACAGTTTAAAGAGACGTCTTCAGTTACAGACTTTTTAAAAAGTGTTCATCCTCCTTTAAGATTCCTCCTCTGTTGCTTTTCAGCATTAAATTATGATCAATTTAATCATTAATCATAATTTATGGTCAGTTTAATTTGGCTTTCTGGAGAATTTATAGAAAAAGTTAAAACACATCAAGTAGATTTACCCTTTAGCCTTCATAAGCCTTCCT